AAAAAGATGAAGAGGGATGCTAAGATGGGATGTAGGAGATGTGGAATTAGAGATAGATACAAGAGGGAAAGGGATAGATATATAAATCCTAAAACTAAGGGAAAGGTGACTACTACAGCCTTTCTGGATGTCGGAAAGCAAACAGTGCCCAACAGCTTTAGTTTCATTTGGAATGGAACTGAAGGACGGTGAACAGAATGTCATCAGAGCTCGAACAATGAATCGACTTACTTCGAATTTACTGAGAATCAAAATTTCACCGGAGCATGAAAGAGAGTTAATGAAAGAGGACGTAATCATTTGGAGAAAATTCAAACGGAAGTGGGACAAACCAAATTTATTAATTGGTGCAGATTATTTTTTTGATTTAAACCCGCAAGTGGTCAAGACTTTCGCCAACGGTTTCCAGCTGGTGGATACGGAAATCGGATTGCTACTAGCGGGGAGTGGCGCTTTTGATTTCAACAGTAAAAAATTGGCTGATTAATTGCCCACACAAATTGAAACGATAAAGGTCCTTCCAATTTCCTCTAAACAGAAAGAGCCGGAGAGTGGAAATATTGAGCAGTTCTGGAAGCTAGAACTTTTGGGGATTTCCGAATCGTCCCAAGAAAAAGAAGACGAAGTAGCTGTACAGCACTTCCAGAAAACTATTAAACGAGAGAAAAAAAGGTACAGTGTGGGATGGCCATGGAGATATCGAGGATTCAGGCTGCCATCAAACTTTGGCGTTTGTTTTGGGAGGCTGATATCTACAGTTTGGAAATTGGGTACCCAGCCACCGCTACTAGAAAGGTACAATGAAATTCTGAAAGAACAAATCGAAAGTGAGATAACAGAGGAAGTAAAAGACATCAGGAAAAGTGAAGGACCAGTTCACTACCTACCGCATCATGCAGTTATCACTCCAATGAAGCAAACAAAAATCCGCATGGTTTTCGATGCTTCAGTTAAGACATCTGGCAGTAAAAGCCTGAATGATTTGCTACGTCGAGGTCCAGTATTGTTAAACGACTTGACGGGAATTTTGTTGCGATTTCGGCTAATGAACATTGCCATTACATGTGACATCGAGAAGGCATATCACCAATTAGTGTTTAACAGAGAGGATCGTGATGTGATTCGATTTCTGTGGTTGCGAGATTATAGACAGCTTATTGAAAGAAGCAATCTGGTTGTTTATCGATTTCAAAGAGCGCCGTTTGGAATAGCATCTCCGTTCTTACTTGTCGCAGTCATAAAGTTTCATTTAAGAAATATGCCATCGGCTGTAGCAAAAAGGGTGGAAGAGAATTTTTACGTAGATAACGTCGTTGCTGAAGCCGACAGCATTGAAGAAGCAATAAAATTGTATGAAGAAATTAAGGATATATTCAGCAAAGCGCACATGAACATACGAGAGTTCGCATCTAATTCCGCAGAATTCAATGAATTCCTTTCAAAGGAAGATCAGCAGTCAACTCAGCAAATGAAAGTCCTCGGAATCTGACGGAACACGGTAACGGATATGGTTAAAATGGCACTGCCACAACTAGCGGAAATAACTACAAAGCGAAAAATTTTGCAAGCGATCGCGTCTGGTTTTGATCCGTTGGGTTTAATATCACCAGCGGTTCTGCCGGCAAAAATCATGATGCAGCGACTTTGGCGACAGAAGTACAAATGGGACGATTTTTTAGTGAATGAGAAAAGGGAAGCTTGGAAGAAGATCGTGAAGGACTGGGAAGGAACGAGCGTGAAATTAGCAAGAAAAATAGGATCAAAAGAAGCAGTAAAGGAGCTTCATGTATTTACGGACGCGCCTGCAGATGCGTATGCAGCAGCTGTTTATCTTAGAAGTGAAAGCGAGAATAACTGTCAGTGCTCCTTAATTTTTGCGAAAAGTAGACTGGGTCTGCTCGAGGGATTGACTATCCCAAAAAGTGAGCCAATGGCAGTATTAATAGGCATACGATCTTTGAAATTTGTTACAAAGCAGTTGGATTTGCATGAAGCAGACAAAACAATATGGAGTGATTCCATGTGTGTTTTGAGTTGGATTGATAATCACACGAGAATGCAACCCAAGTTTGTGCAAAATTGTTTGGAAGAAATAAGGAAGAAACAAGTCAGATTTAGATACGTAGCTACAAAAGAGAATCCACCTGATATCGTGAGCCGAGGAATGAGTATGAAAAAACTTTGTGGATGCTTCCTGTGGTAGAACGGACCAATATGCAAAGAATGGTGGCCGACAACGGTAATTCACCAGGACCTTGAAGAAATCACAGAACAAACCATCAATGCGGAAAGGGAGCAAGCAAACAGTTCGAAAACCGAGAATACAGGAGAAGAACACTGTAAAACAATGTCTTTAGTGAATAATAGAGAAAAGAAAGCGGAAGGATATGTAATCGACATTAGTCGATTCAGTAGCTGAAATAAGTTGGTCCACACTGTGGCATGGATTTTGAAATTCATCAACAAATTATCAAAAGGGGAAAACGACCACTGGCATTTCGAAGGAAAACATCATCACAGCTTCAGACTATGCAATATCAGAAACCGTCCTGTTCAAAGAAGCTCAGCAAACGGGAGTTTCGGATAAAGAATACAGAAAGTGGCAACTAAAGTGGCAACTAAAAGTGGCAACTACTTTAAAGGGGTTTTACGATGCGGAGGCAGGTTGATCAATGCAGAAATACCAGAGACAGCTATATATCCAATCTATTTACCCAGAAGCAGTAGAATTACGAGGCTTATCATCAAAGCCATTCATGAAAAAATGCTTCATAGTGGAACCATTCGAACTCTGGCAGAATTAAGAAGGTTTTTGGTAGAAAAGGCCATAAGTTTAGTAAAAACAACTATCAAACAGCAGTGTATGGTGTGTCGAAGGTGGTGTCAGCAACCGTTTCAGTTGCCATCCTATCCAGCTTATCCCAAAGAGAGAGTTCAACGTACAACAACATTTCAACATATTGGATTGGATTACATGGGACCGATAACCATAAAAGCAATGGGGCCACAAAATTCGTCAAAACGATGGGTTGCATTATTTTACTGTCTGCGTACCAGAGCAGTTCATTTGGAGATAGTTAAGGATTTGACTGCCACAGCCTTCTTACACACACTGCGTAGATTCATTGCAAGGCGTTGCGCGCCACGAACTATTCTGAGCGATAACGCTCCAAATTTCAAGTTAACCAGCGAAGTTCTTGAAGGAGCAATGCGGTCAATCGAGCGAAATCCAATAGTTATAAATTACAGCAGTCAGAACGGAATTCGCTGGAAATTTATAACTCCACTGTTTCCATGGCAAGGAACCGTCTAAGAAAGGTTGATTGGAGTCACCAAAACTGCCTTTAGGCGCGCCATGGGGAGACGCTTCTTGGGCGAAGAAGAGTTGATTACTTTCTTCACTGGAATCGAAGCAATCGTCAACTCCAGGCCGCTCACTCAAGTGACGGAAGATTCAGTAGAAGTTTCGCGTCCAATTGACTTTATTAATCCTTTGGCAAGAATTGGAAATCCTTTAGATGAAAGTGAAGAAGATGAGGACTATCAAATAAAAATTAAACTGTCGACAAAGGAAAAATTAATGGGTTACTAGAAACGAACGAAGAAGTGCTTAGATAAATACTGGGAGCACTGGCAATAACATTATCTGCTTAGGCTGAGAGAAAGGTGGGAATCAAAGCATCACCAAAGGCGCGGTCTCACAAAAAGAGAGCCAAAGTTGAAAGAATTAGTTCTTATTGATGATGAAAAACCAAGGGGAACATGGAAATCAGGAATCATCGAGAAACTAAATCGAGATGTTGAAGGAGCAATAAAGACCGTGATTATAAGATTGTCAAAGAACAACAAACTATTTCGGTCTATAAGTATGCTGATTCCATTGGAAATAGAGCCTGCAGAAGTCGATATGATTTGAAGAAATTTGCGCTTGGGCGGAGTGTTGCGAATAGTTATTCACGAAAGAAAAAAAATGGGGTATATGAAAAAGGGATAAGTTCAAATAAGATGCGAAAGAAATGCAGCAGTTGTAAATAATCAGTGATCTTTTATTATGTTGCAGTTTTTTATGGTTTTTTTTAATGATTGTAATTTGCTATGCCGAGGCTATAAATTCCCTTGTTTAGCTGTTATTCGAAAATAGCCGTGAGTTCACCTCCCGCCAACTACGCCATCATTTCGAGTTAGAGGTGGAGACTAAATTCTTAGTATAAAAGACCTCGCTCCTCTCTTTTTTGGTTAGTCAGTTGGGTCAGTTGGATTTG